CGACCACAGCATTATCGATTTTTGGCTCATTTAAAAATGTGAACTGCTCTTCATACTATTTCCTCCCGTCCGAAGACGACCTAGCGTGCTAGCGTCGAAAATTTACAAATAAAGTTTGTTGCTGTTTCCCGAATAATTTATTCTGTCAAAGACTAACGCCGTTTATCCTGGCAACTTCGCCTTGCCTCACCCATACCGTGATAGGTGCCGGCTCGTGCTGGTAAAATAATCTGGTCTACGGGAGCAAGTGAAAAAGTAGATGAACAGGAAGTTCGTCTAAGCTGGCAACCTCTCCTTATCTTTTCCGTGTATCAAGAAGTGGGTTGAGAATAAGATCCGCACTCCTGCTGATCGAAAGGTTCGTGAAATGGCTTGGCGAAGGCGTCCTCTCGGGAGTTTACCTGTCGCGTTCTCTTGAATGGGCTTTTTGGAGGGAATAGAGTCCCCTTTTCTACTGGTCTGGTGAAAAAATCGCTCGTAACAACTAGCTCAAGATACTTCTCTCGAAGTAGGACCCAGATCTTTCTAAGATCCTCTTCGATATTTATGGTAAACTTGTGTTATTTAATTCAATAAATTCAGTCAGTTCCTGTGCAAACCTGATTCGCTCTGCATGGACCAGGCGTGTGTGGCACGCTTGGACACGTGGTTTAGTCCTTTCAGCCATTGCGCCCCATGCCGTTCTCAGTCTTTTTGACTCTATCTTAACACCGGGGGCATGCGCATGAAATAGATGCAAGGCAAGTCTGTGATCATTATAAAGTCACAAAGTTAAACCCAAGTTAGTTAGTTGTGGCATAAGACGGATATAGTTATTCGCGATGGTCGAACTGTCGGAAACATTTCGATTTCTCCATTTATGTCAGGATCTTATCCCTTCTGTGCGACCGTTTAGATTGTGTGGACTCAAATGAAGACTCAGTGGCTAGAGAGAACACGCGAGATTTCTATCATTTGTCGCAAAATTTCTTAATGCTACTGCTACTTCAGGAAGAGCAGGATACATTTTAGTTTCAGTGCCCGTCTATTTATAAAGATCTATTCAAAATAGTGACCTTTATGTTTTATTACAATGCAGCCTACTCTCGCACATTGTTTTCTTTGCAACTAAAGTTTTAAGAAAATTGCTGATGTAAC